GTCACATCAAAATCAGAAACTTTGAGTTTCTCTGATACTGCGAGTTCAATCGCATTATCGTGTTCAACAAATCCGTCAAGCGGATTTGAGATATTATCTTTTTCAAGTGGAAATGTCATTTCCTCAAGCTGCAGCAATGTTGTGGAAGAAAAAAATGAAAGAAACAGCTGCAAAATTGATCCGATATTTTATTAGTGTTAGTGTTGATTTAAAGCAGTATATTGGTATAAGCAAGGAATAAATTTGGATTGTTGACTTGTTACAATCTTCGATTGGATGTTTTACTGACGACATTTTTTTGACATTGATGAAAATACGAACGCCCGACACATTCAATAGATTAGGCGATTATTTTGGATTGTTAACATCACAGGCTAGCAGAATATTTCAGAAAACAGTAAAACATTTAGCTCATTACTTGAAAACTCTCGTTTTTTGTCCAGAATCGGAAGTGATTATAAAGAATTTGCCTATTGCATTTCGTGCATACTATAGTCATGTTCGTATTATAGTTGATGCTTTTGAGGTCTATATCGAAACACCAACCAATCCAATACATCAAGTATTAACATGGTCGCAGTACAAACATAATAATACTGCAAAAGTTTTGATAAGTTGCACTCCTGACAGATTTGTCTCTTTCATGTCTCGTGGCTACGGAGGCCGAACGAGCGATATTGTACTTTTCAAGGAGAGTAAAATAATGGATATTATTCCCGAAAAAAGTGGTGTAATGGCAGACAGAGGATTCAAAGAGATTCAAACTATTTTAAAGAAAAAAAAAAGTGAGTTGATTCGTCCTCCTTCAGTTTCTAGTGCCACTAAATCTTCTAAGACGGATGTATTGAAAACAAAAAGCGTGGCAAGTTTAAGGATTCACATTGAAAGAGTCATACAAAGGGTTCAAGAGTACAAAATGTTGTCGCCGTATGCTTGTGTGGATTGGAACTTGTTGCCATATATCGATGATATAGCAATAATTGTAGCAGGGCTGGTGAATTTGCAGAAACCAATCATAAAAAAATAATGTGTATTTTGCGTGATATTTGTGTTGTCATCTAAAAAAGGCGAAGCTTACGTACATGTATTTAAACATTGAAGGAGCGTAATAAAATTTGAGACTAAAAGTTGTCATTTTTTTAAATATGTATTCTTTCTTGAAACATTTTAACCCTTTCGGTACGAGCGCTCTTTCCGCCGCGACACTCCCGCTGTATGAGATGCCTCGCCAAAAACGCGCACATAGCACATGGTCAGTCCTCCTTTGTGTGAAGACTTTCCTAACCTTATATATGATCTATGCTTAATAAAACAATGCTTTTTTCCAAGTGTTTGTAACTTTAATATTAAGAGATAGTTATATAAGATTCTATCAATTATATAAGTAAAATTTATAAAAATTATATACAGATTATATGATTATATACAAGATTATAAACAAAATTATATACACAACAAAAATGACTGTTTCCATATTATTAGTTGATGTATGATTAGACACAAGACGGCTAATAATTTAATTGGGTGTGATATATTTTAAAACATGGATCCACACATAATCAACATTGCAGTCTTTGCATTCATATCGTGAATCAGATCGTTTGTTGTTTTTACTGCAAACTACGCACCGACGACTCCGGTTCTTTCCTTTTAAGGTATATAATGATGGGAAATGTCTCTCTGTTAGTCGCATTGGTTGATCAGTTTTCCTTCTTTGATTATTTATATAATCATTATGATATTTATCGATTATTTGTTTTATTAAGTGCAATTGAAACTGCGCCATGGATATGTTTTCGTTTCTTTTATGCTCATAAAGACAGTACGCGTTCCATACACAAATATCAATTAAATGAAAAAAAAATTTCCGGTACCATTTTAACGTTTTTCGAGTTGAGTTTATAGTACTAATTACCATGTCTACTTTATCAACTATACCCATTGAATTATTATAGTCTACAACACACACAGGCTTTAAGTACATTCTGTGTTCCTCCATATTTGAATACTGTCACGAAATCTGCAGTATGCATGGGGTTGAGATCATGTGTACTTCTTTCTTATCAACCCATTTTATTACTAGTAAATTTTTCGAGGTACAAAATGACGCTTTTCCTTTCTTCAATTTATCATCGATCTTGGGCATTCCTTGCCGTCTTCTTCTTGCTGTCCCACATGCATTTGTGCGATTGTCGTGTAATAGGTTGAATAATGCGGGACTTGAGTAAAAGTTGTCTACATAAAGCGTATGGCCCTTTCCTAAATATGACTTTAAGAGTTCCAAGACTATTGCTCCAGATTTCCCAATGCCCTTGATAGGACTAGTCGGAACTGTAAGTGCTCCGGAATAAACTATCATATTTTGTACGAATCCGGTTTTGCAATCACACAGAATNAATGATTTTATCTCNAACCTATTCNTNTTGGTCGGAATATATTGTTTGAAACATAAGCGGCCTTTGTATAACAGCAAGCTTTCATCTATACATAGTTCTTGGTATCGCTGAAACGCCGCAGTGAATGATTTTCGCAGCATATCGACTATTTTTCTTATTTTTATCAGGCGGTCGCCAATGCATCTAGGTTCATAGAAGAAATGCATTCGGAGAAGCAGGAAGTACCTGTCTCTAGTCATTATTTTTCCAAAAATGTCGCTGCGTAGATAGTCGTCCGTGCTCCAGTATTCTTTGAGTGATAGTTTTTTATTACGCGTAATCAGTAAGGACATGGCCAAAAAACAATACAATTTGTTTTGCGTCGTTGTTTCCAAATTATTTGCATTGTTATTGTTTTGTTAGGCCCAATAATTGTTGGACTTGTCTACAATTATATCTACAAATTCTTCAAACATAAATAATTGAAAATAATCAATGAATTGTGATGACCTGCGTATTTCTTTGGTGATTCCCGAATGTTTTGAATCAAATCTACAAATTTTTGGTACAAAATGATTTTTTGTCCATGTTATTTCACAATTCGTGCCATTAGATTCTTGGATTAATTCTGTTTCCGACTCAGAACCATTATATATCACATTTATTTTTCGCCTTTTACGCCAGTTAAAATTATTTTCATTTTCACAATTCTCGTCATTTTCCGAATCAGTTAATCCGTTTCTGATACTTTTGTTTGCACTAAACATTCTGTAAAAGGCCAAAAATGATATAAAATCTACGAACAAGTTTCGGATAAAAACATAACCTAAAGTTTTATTAATTAAACAAAATTAGACGACGATTATACCTATAGTTGTTTTCTTTGGAATTCATGTAAAAAAAGACTTTTTATTGGAATAATTTCTATTATCTCAGAAATATCAATTAATCAACGCAGATACAAATGTAGAAAACAATTGTTCAACAATCGAAGAGTCCAAGGTGTTTTATGCATATGTGCAAAATATATTTTTAATATGATCTTCATCTAATACGTCGGTAAAATAGAATATAATTTGACCAACTGCAAATGTCGTTTGCACTCACGGGTTGCTACGTAGATGCCAAATAAATCCGGCACTCGCCCACACAGGTCATCAGATGGATGCCGGATATATCCGGCGCTCGTCCACACA